GGTGGAGTGTCGAAGGACGAGTTGATGGGGCCTGCTGCTGTTGTTGCCGCTTTTTGCAATGGCAAGGGAGGTGGTGGTGGTGTTGGGAAGGGCTTGATGAGAGCTTTTTGAAATGATGATATGCGGGCTGGTTTTTTTTTTTTTTGGTTTTTGTACATTTTCACTAGATGGGTTTATCCCCAGCACACAGGCCTTTTCATCTTTTCCCAACTCTTGATCTACGACGGGATTAATTTATTGAAATGTAATGTCTCTTGTAAATCTCTCTTCGGTGGTCTATCTGCTTCATCAACATCTTTTAAGAACTAACAATAATTTATATGCCAGTAGTATTTAAAGAACTTCAGGGATTATCTTCCCTGAAGTGAATCCGGCTAATATAACTACAATATAACTATTCTCATAGTCTCATTGGTGCGTCTTTACCTATTTTTTACATTTTTTTTTATTAGAAGTGATTTATTGCACCCCAATTAATCGTTCAAATTGAAATTGCACCATGTTTTTAAAGACTTTGTATTTGTACCAAATCCCGTGTGAAAGACAAAAATGACCTTTCATTAACAATTCTATTGTCCTCCAATATATTTCTGATTGAGAGACATTTATATTTTCGCATGCGGGTAAAGGTGCAAATATTAAGTTTTTTTTAAACGAAATGCAAATACATTTTTTTTAAAATTGAGTTGCAAAGTCTAATTTGAACAATAAAATGGGGTGCGAACTCAAATTAACATTCTTAAATATGAAGGGAAATTCATCTCCCAACAATTAGTTTCTCTCTCATTTATGCATTAACAAAACTGATGAGTTATGGTATCTTTCTCTCATATTTACCAATCAATATTCTTACTTTTTTTTCCTTCTCTATTTATCAAACTGAATTACTAAACATGATTCTTTATTTTATCATTCTATGTTATTTTTAGAAAATAATACACTAAAATCAATTTATATGTCAGCCTCCTAACCTACATTATGATATTATTTGCAAGAATGATAATGAGATGAGAAATAATATTAAGAGAGTTAAAGTATATATAATTTGAATTTAATTTATTATTTCTTAAAATTTAATTTCATTTTGAAACATATGATTACTTTTTTGGACAATTCTTTCTAACCTATATAGTATCTGCTCAATGTTAATGCCAACATCCTTGTATTGGGATGAGATTCAAACCTGTGACCTCCTCCTTGGGAGTGCCACAGTGATGCCATCAGACTACAAGGTACTTGGTGAAACATATGATTACTTCAAATCGGTATTTTCATTAAAAATTGATCAACTTGAGTACATGTCGTAAATAACACGTCAGGTTGTGAAATTTTAAAATAACTTCTGCGACATACTCCTTCTGTCCCAATTTGTTTTGCAAAATTTCCTATTTTGGTTGTCCCAAAATGATTTTCCACTTTCCATTTTAGGTATATAAATAAAAGTAAGTGACAAATTCATCCTTACTTTTACTTTTTCCCATTAATCTAAAGGCATCTACTCCTAGGATGAAGGGCAAAAGTGTAAAAAGCAAGTATCATTTATTGTCATTCTTTAATCCTTGTGCCAGTCAAAGTTTGCAACTCAATTCGGGACGGAGGGAGTATTTATGGGAAACATTTAATCACTTCAAGTTCGTCCACTTTTAAAATGGAAGTATTCTCGATGCTAATTTCCAATAGTGATACTAACTAATTGCACACATAAATTAATGTTATTTATTTACACTAAATAGAAAAAAATGGAACGATTGTGCTTTTCATACCGCTTACCTTATTTAGGCACAAAATGTAACTAATATTTATTTTTAGATCTCCTAAAATTTAACAAAGAAATTATTCATGTTAGAAATAAGTGAAATCTCTTTACTTTCCATCTTTGAAAAAATAGATATTTTAACTTGTGTCATATTATCCTCCAAATTTCTATAAATATCATCTTTACACATCATATTATAAGGGTAATCATTATCACCCGCTTAAAATTATTTAATATGATTAGGAAAATTAAATCCGATTCAATGCACAAGTCAAATGACCAGTTTTGAATAAGTGAGAGCGCCTGCCGTTTGATAAATATCTTTTCAACACTAGTGTTTTTGGACAAAATTATTGAAATGAAACACGGTAAATAACAACATTTTAGATTAGAATATTGAAATATGACATTCTTTACTAATTGTTATGATCAAACTACTAAATTATCAAATACAGTATCATTTTGCAATTCGCCAGCTTATAATGTTAGTCAAACATATTAACTAAAACTCAAGTCCTTATAACATACTACGTACAAGTATAATCCGCTATCCATTGTCCTTTAAGTCCCAAACATGCTCATTGTCTTTCTTCGTATTGTTGGGTTTATGATGTGACAAATTGATTGTCTACTATCCCAGTTCCTTATTATTTTGATTTTTAATTTGTTTAAAAAAATTGTTATTTTTTTTTATAATATGTATTCACATTTTTTTATTTCTCTCTCGTCTTCACAAATTTCAACAATACAATTTTTATTTTATTATTTTACATGATCAAACATGATACTACATATATTTATAAGAAAAAGAACCAGTAGAAGATAAGTGTTCCGAAGTCTTGATTAATATGAAGGCTTTCCAATTTTTTTTTAAATCAAATAACTAGCTTATTCATTAAATGAGAGCAAAGATATAAGTAAATGAATAACTTAAGGATATAATGAGATGAAACGTAGAACGGAAAATATCAAATGAATCCTTCTAGATCACTAACCCCGCAATAGTATAATCTAGTCCAACAGTTTTGCTGCTCTTCTTGCTACTTCTAAGAGAAAATTAAAAGTTACAAATAAAATATCTGACTTCATCAGTCACCGCAAAAGAGAATTGATTTGACGAACAACCAACAGAGAAAACTCAATTAAGCAGAAAATGACCGAATAAACGATTTGACCAGCCACCGAAAAGGAGACCCAGTTGAGCATTATTGTTTTCTCAAAGTCAGGCAGTGGTTCGGGGGGAGGATGAGTAGTTAAAACTTCAAAAGGACTAGGTAGAACCACTACAAAAAAACACGGAGTTAGTCACGGATTTAGTCACGGACCGTAGTATAAAAATTCCGTGACTAACTCCGCTAGTCACGGATTTTGTCCGTGACTAAATCCGTGACTGTTTGGGCGTGACTAATTCTAGTCACGGTCATTTTATCCGTGACTTAGCGTAGTCACGGCTTAGTCACGGACAGTTTCCGTGACTAACTTGTCACCGGAATAACCACACCGGCGACTTAGTCACGGCCTTTTCCGTGACTAAATATAGTCACGGACTAGTCCGTGACTAAATTTTCAAATTTTTAAAAATTAACCGCCAAATGTTACTGTTTAAATTTTCAAATTTCAAATTTTAGTCACGGACTTGATCCGTGACTACTTTTTTATTTTTTTTAAAAAAAATTAAATTTGCAAAATAACTTTTTTAAAAATCGGTCTAGAATTTAGTCACGGCTCGGATCCGTGACTAAAGTTTTTTATTTTTAAAAAAAAAGTTTTTTTTTTATAAAAAAATAAATTTTTTTTTAATTATTCTTTAGAAAAGTTTATTTTAAAAAATATTTGCAGAATAAAAGTAATAAACAGACTACTAGAACCCACTAGAACACACATTTCATAACCAAACAGACTGAAATAAAAGTAATAATAAGCACAATAGAATTATAGTAAATAAACAATGTTCAAATAAAAATGTATATCATTTACAAGCTCCCCCGGTTACCATTATGATAATATCTAGAATCATCATATAGATAATCTTCTTCGGTCTCATCTTCTCGGTTGCCACCGCGACTGCCTCCTCCGCGACTGCCACCTCCGCGACTGCCACCTGCTTGGCTGCCTCCAGATGTTTGAAACAGGTTGTGAAAATTGATATCCTGAATAGATCCAAATGAAGGCAACCCGGTAGCAGAGTTGGTACGGAAATAACCGCCCATGTGCGGAACTTGAGGTGTCTGCTCAGGGTGCAGTACATACGGCTGAGGCTGAGGCTGATTCCGAATTCCGGCGCTGAGGATCCGTTCCATCTCTTCCAGCCGGGCCCTTGTTTCTTCATCTTTTTTGCGTTGCTCCTCCAAGGTGCGCTGCTGCTCAGCCAAGGCCCGCTGCTGCTCCTCCATCTCCCGCTGCATTTGAGCGATACGCGGATCCTCTCCGCGCCTTGAACGGGAAGATGAAGCACCGCTGCGGTCGTACAAGATCCGTTGCCCCTCAGCCCCCATGCACGGGACCCGGCCCTTGTACACCCCAACTGTGTGACACCGCACCCGAATGTCCCTGGAAATTTGATTTGAATATTCATAGCTTATGTATTGGATTTCCGATTCCCAAACATTTTGTAAAACGATCAATGTTCTACGTAGTGCATGGTTGAATATCGTACTGTTCAAACTCGTACATTAGTGTCGGGTTTCGCAAATACTTACTCGGGACTTATTAATAAATAGAAAGGCCCAACATTTCCTAAATAGTGAAAGAATGATTAAAGGAGAATACAAATGTCTATAACCCCATCTTTGGCATTATTGAGCTAAATAATGGGAGTAGGATTTTCCTTCTAAAATATCCATCAAGTAAATTATTGGGATGAGTCTACACATATTGGAGATCAATAATGTGATTTAGGAAGTTGACTTGTTCTAAATAAATTAGGATGAGTACAAAAAGACATCTTTGACAAAGATAAAACAATAGGACCCATCTTCCCATTTTTGGAAGTATTGGTAGATATTTTGGACCCCAAAATGATTGGGATCAATTGGGAACCACTCCACATGATATTAGTACCTGCAAGACAAATAAAAATGGGCTAGGAGACTTACCTTGGCCGGCCATTATGGAGAAGAGCTGCACATGACTTGATAAGAATCAAAGTTTGGGCCACCACTCTTATTTTCGCACAAATTGGTGTGCTGTTTGTCTCCTCTCATTATAGGAGCTATCCTCAACCAAATAACGTGTATGAGGTGTCCTTGGATAGCTCTTGAAGTGTAGTTTCATAATTGAGTGGTCTTTGTTCGAGGAGAGAGAGCTTATCATCCAAAAATCGATCTGGAACGAGCAGTGGTCTGTGAACTCGAGCTGTGAGAGTGCTGAGACTGTTTGCTTCATATCTCGAGTTATACACATCCAAATAAGGCGTATAATATACCAAAAGAAAGCTCTCAAGACGAGGAATCGTCGAAGGTCTGGTTTGCATCAATCGGAGTAGTGGAAGGCCTCCAAATCGACCGAGCAAAACACGACCTCGCAGAATACGTTTTTGTATTCAAAGTAAGTTTGAATCCAAAACCTTTCTCTCTATTGTCTAAATCATATAAATGATTGAAGAACCATTATACACTGATTGAAGTGTATAAAATGTTATTATTATGTGACTTTAATTGTTGGAAAGGTTAGATACTAACCTAGAGCAAATCTTGGAAAAACTAGGAAACGAGTTAACCGGGAAACACCCGTTCTAGGGGCTGTTTTCGTATCAACGATTAAGGGTTGAACTAGCACTTTGAGGAGGCTGTTTAACACTCATATTTGAGCAAGGAATCAGTTCCAAATCCACCTTGACCAAAGCTTTGACCATTGGACCAAGGAGGGAAAGTTTAAAGCTCATTTGAGGTGAGGATTGACATCTAATTGCTTACAACTTGTAGGTTAAGCATGAGATTACCTAAATGCTTAAATCATGATTTTTCATGGATTATGATGATTATATATTGATGAAATATTGATATAGTTGCCAAGGAATGAAATTTGAAATGATTTGAGAAGGTATGAATAATATGAGATTAAATGAGTATAAATGAACTATTTTGTGAAAATGGGCATTTTGCTCATGTATGAATTATGTGAATACATAAATAAATATTTGTGTATTGAGATTGAATACTTAAGTTGCTGCTACATAATTATAAATATGTAGAGAATTACAAATAATGAGGATAATGGTATGATAACAATAATCTTAATAGTATTGAAATACTAGTTAGTGATTATTGGAACTTGTTGATTAAATTGATCCTAGGGATTGGATTGTATGAAAGGTACTTGAATATAGTTCAAGTGTATATAATAACTTAGTTTGGAACTAAGGTTAAGTTATGGGAAGTCTTTAAGGATGACCCAAAGTAGTTTAATGATATGTCAATTCTAGGCATAGGGTTGCTTGAGAATTGGACCTTAATGCATGGTGATGTAATAGAGCCGAGCTCTAGAATGCATGTAAGGTGTAGACTTGGAGTCTATGTATTGTATAGCTAGAGCCGAGCTCTAGGACTTGCGTGGTGATGTAATAGAGCCGAGCTCTAGAACGCAAGGTAAGGAAATTGACCCGAGGTATATGAATTGTATGGTGATGTAGTAGAGCCGAGCTCTAGAATACAATGTCATGTACTAGGGTTGGACTCTAGGAGTTGTCGTGGCTTATAGCCACGGGGTTGGGAATGGTGATTTCCAAATGAAAACGGGCCCACGGGCCGACTACTTGACTTTTATATAAAGTAAGTATATTTTTAAACGGGGTAACTTAGGGTTACAATCATAATGTACTATCACCCTAATTGAGGGTCTTGTGTTTGAAATACTTGTTGTATATCTATTAGATGCCTGCCACACCAGTACTTTATAGCCGTATAGAGTACTGACCCCTTCGGGGGCGTCCCACCACCATTTCAGGTTGAGGCTAGAGCTTGCATCCTGTGCTCGTTGATCGAGTGATTCCTCGGAGAGAAGACTTGGTTCGTGCTTCCTCCATTCTATTTGAAACATTAATAAATTTGCTCATGGATATTTTATTATAGAGCCTGCGTGCTCATGAATAGCCCTGTGTGGCCCTTTCGTTTTAAACAATGTTTTCCGCTGCTTTATGAATTACTTATTATGTTGTTTATGGATGACTTATGTGTGAATGATATTCATGACGCCTTGTATAATATGAATGTGTTGGATTGCGATTGACTATTCGTATTGTACGGCGGGTTGTTGACGTGTCCGGGGAGGTCCGGGGCGTGACAATTAAGTTGGTATCAGAGCCCTTAGTCCATAAACTTCATAATGAAGTCTCAAAATTCTCTTTTTGAAAAGATTTTGAAAACCATGAGCATAGAAGTTTTGTACTTGGAGAGCTTTTGGTACTTGGGTTGCAAGGTCTCTAATTGTTAAGATGGTACCCTTAGCAATTGGTATGGCGGTGACTCGAGCCAAAATGTGTCTTAAGTACCTATCCGTCAATTGACATTTGATACGAGTCTAACGACTCTTTCCAAATTCTTTCAGAAATGGACCGTGGTGGCAGGATTACTAGGAGAAACCCGACCGGCCATGTACCAGTGGAGACTGGACAGGGCAGTCGAAGGACCTCTAGGGCATCTAGAGGAGCTGGCCGTGGAGGCCGATCACAGACCGTGAGTGACGGTCATGTCGACACGGAAAGTGAAACCTACTGGTCCTATGAGGACTCGACCTATCGACCGGAAACTGAACCGGTTGAGACCCCTTATGAAGGGGATGATGATGACGTAAGTGATGAGGAGGAAAATGGCTCCTTAGCACGGATTGAAGCACTACTTCAACAGTACCACCGTGAGCGTGAGGAGAGGAGGGAACGCCGAAGGCGCCGGGCTGGGCAGCCTTCGGGCGGGGCTTCAAGAGGGAGAAGCCATGGCGACTCTAGGGCCCACATTGAACCACATGGGGGTCGGGGTGATGGGGGTCCAATCATAAGGATCTCCAAATACATCAAAGAGGCACGAGACTTAGGGTGCAAACCGTTCGATGGGACGGGTGACATCTCCGTTTCGGCACAATGGATTAAACGGCTGAATGAGGCAGCCCTGGACATGCAACTCACCCCCGAATATAAACTAAGGGTTGCGGTGAGATTGCTTGAAGGTATGGCATCCAAGTGGTGGGATGGGACCAAAGGCAAATATGGCGAGACCGTCACTTGGGAGAATTTCCGACAGGAATTCTTTGCCCAATATTACTCGGATTTTGAGGTGAACAAGAAAGTGAGGGAATACACCCTTCTAACCCAAGGGGGTAACATGACGGTGAGGGAACTTGAGTACAAGTTCAGGGATCTTGCCGATTACATACCTGAGTATGCTTGTGACGAGAACCGGATGGTGAACCACTTCTAGGATGCTCTAGACTTGGAGATACGTGACAGGGCAACACAATTGCCTAACATGACGTTTGCCCAAGTGGTTGACCAAGGGTTGAAAGGAGAGAAGCAATGGGAAGAAAGGAAGAAGAGAGACGCCGAGGAGGCGAAAAAGAGAAAGTGGGAGAGTCATGGCTCCCAAGGTTCCAACAAAAAGGGGAACCACGGAGGAGGATCTTTCCGGGCACCACCGCCACCATATAGGGGGAACCAAGGCCCGAGTGGGCAAGGCGCGAGGTCACAAACCTCAGTGGTAGCTCGTTGCAACAATTGCAAGAAGAACCACTCCGGTAAATGTCGCGACCCCCCTAGATGTTTTCAATGCGGGGATGCCGGGCATTTGAAGGCACATTGTCCACAATTGAGTGGGGCAAGGACATCGGGACCGAGTAGCGGTCCGACGGGTACACGGAATCAAACCGGGGCTTCTCAAGCAAGCCGGGGACACGGGGGGGCAAGTACAAGCAACGCGCCATCCGTGAACCAAGGGAGGACCCAGGCTAGGGTCTATGCGATGACGGAGGCGGATGCTCAAGCTAACCCGGACTCCGTCGCAGGTATTGCCTCTCATATACTAGTGTTTTATCCTTAATTAGTCCATAAATTGAGGATACTAATCGCTAGGATCATTGCACGGGGTTTTGGGGTCGAACCGGGGGATTTCGGGCAACTTCAGGCGGCTGGGACCCAGGCACGATCGTGCCTAAGGCAGACACGATCGTGCCTCCAAGTCAGTAGCTGCCCAGGAAAATTCCCAACCCAGGCACGATCGTGCCTAAGGCAGACACGATCGTGCCTACAAGGCAGTAGCTGCCCAGGTGTTTCTTCAAACCAGGCACGATCGTGCCTAATCCAGACACGATCGTGCCTCCAAATCAGTGGCTCCCCAGGATTTCCCAACCCAGGCACGATCGTGCCTAAGGCAGACACGATCGTGCCTCCAAGGCAGTGGCACCCTGGGCGTTTCCCCAAGCCAGGCACGATCGTGCCTACCCCAGGCACGCCGTGCCTGGCACCCAGATTGCCGAAACCCGGTTTTTTTCGCATCGTTTTGCGACGTTAAGGCCTCTTCTTGATCCCTAACGTGCGTGTGAACATTGCAACCTTCTATAAATGAGTAGGGAGGGTAGGAAAGATGTCTTACATGGTTCATGAATGTAGGGACACTAAAGATTAATGGGAAGGATGCACGAATCCTTATCGATACCGGAGCGCAACGTTCATTCGTGAGTGAGGCGTTTGCCGAGAGCTTAGAGATGCAATCAATACCAATGACACAAACCTTAGTGGTATCAACCCCACTAGGGGAAGACGTTGAAAGAAACAATTACTATCCATCTTGTATGGTGGAAATCGGTGGCCAAACCTTGACGTGTGATTTCGTACCGCTGAGTATGATGGAGTTCGATGCAATCCTAGGGATGGATTGGCTAGAAAAGCATCATGCTAGGGTAGATTGCTACACAAAGGTGTTGGAACTCGAAGGCACACAGGGGGACACCCTACGCTTCGAGGGGGACCGCGGCAAATCAAATAGTTGTATCATATCCGCCGTGAGAGCGAGAAATATGATGAGGAAGGGATGCCACGCATATCTAGCATTCGTGGTTGACAAAACCAAAGAGGAAACGAACATCGATGATGTGAGGGTGGTTTGTAAGTATCCGGATGTCTTCCCTAAAGACCTACCGGGGCTTCCACCTGACAGAGAGATTGAATTTGTGATCGAGGTCGAGCCTGGTACCAAACCAATCTCCATACCGCCATACCGGATGGCACCCGCTGAACTTAACGAGTTGAAAACCCAATTGCAAGAGCTTTTGGATAACGGTTTCATTAGACCAAGCCACTCCCCGTGGGGAGCACCGGTTCTTTTTGTGAAAAAGAAAGATGGGACACTTCGAATGTGCATTGACTATCGTCAACTGAACAAGGTCACAATCAAGAATAGGTATCCGTTGCCTAGGATTGATGACTTGTTTGATCAACTACGAGGAGCAACCGTGTTTTCGAAGATTGACTTAAGGTCGGGGTACCATCAATTGAAGATTAAGGAAGATGACATACCAAAGAGTGCTTTCCGCACAAGGTATGGGCATTTTGAGTTCCTTGTTATGTCGTTTGGATAAACAAACGCCCCGGCGGCATTCATGGACTTGATGAACCGAGTATTTCATAAATACTTGGATCGATTCGTGATTGTGTTCATAGATGACATCTTGATTTACTCAAAGAGTGAAGAAGAGCATGAGGAGCACTTGATACTTGTTCTTGAAACACTACGGGAGAAGCAACTCTATGCCAAATTTTCTAAATGTGAATTTTGGCTAAAGGAGATTGGCTTCCTCGGGCACGTGGTTTCGGGATCGGGGATTGCTGTTGATAACAAGAAGATAGAAGCCATTACTGAATGGGAGAGGCCAAAGAACGTCAAGGAAATTCGTAGTTTCCTTGGATTGGCAGGCTACTATAGAAAGTTCGTGGAGAAGTTCTCTGTTTTGGCATCGCCATTGACGAAGCTCACTCGTAAAGGAGCTAAGTTTGTATGGGATGACAAATGCGAGAAAGGGTTCATGGAACTAAAGAAGAGATTGACCGAGGCACCGGTACTTGCATTACCCAAACAAGGTGTGGGGTACGATGTCTATAGCGATGCGAGCATCCAAGGGCTCGGATGTGTACTGATGCAGAATGGGAGGGTAATCGCCTATGCTTCACGACAATTGAAGAAGCATGAGGTGAATTATCCTACTCATGATTTGGAGCTCGGGGCAGTGGTATTTGCACTGAAGATATGGAGACATTATCTCTACGGGGAGACATGTCACATATACACCGATCACAAGAGCTTGAAGTACGTGTTTACTCAGAAAGAGCTAAACATGAGACAGAGACGGTGGATGGAGCTGATAAAAGACTACCATCTAGTGATAGAGTATCACCCAGGCAAGGCAAACGTGGTGGCAGATGCTTTGAGCCGGAAGAGCTCGTCTGGGGCATTGATAACTAATTTGAGGGCATTAAGAGCCCAACTGGAGGTAACCAGCGATGGTGCCTTATTGGCACGATTTGAGGTAAGACCCACTTTACTTGATGAGATCAAGAAGGGTCAGGAAGCCGACGAAGAACTTATGAAGGTCCGGGAACGCATGCAAGCGGGGCCGGTGGAGGATTTCAGGGAAAGAGATGATGGTCTCTTGTTATTTCGTGACCGAGTGTGTGTACCGTCAGATGATGAGCTCCGAAAGTCCATCTTAGAGGAGGCTCATTCATCGGCTTATGCCATGCACCCGGGGGGCACGAAAATGTACCGTGATTTGAAGGAAAGTTACTGGTGGTCTGGAATGAAGAGGGAAATAGCCGAGTACATCAGTCGGTGCCTTACTTGTCAACAAGTTAAGGCAGAACATCAGCACCCAGCAGGCTTATTGCAACCACTCTCCATCCCTGAATGGAAGTGGGAGCACGTGACTATGGATTTCGTGGTAGGCTTACCACGGACTATCAGGAACTATGACGCGGTTTGGGTCGTTGTGGATAGGCTCACAAAGAGTGCACACTTCTTGCCTATCAACACTACCTATCCACTTGAGAGGTTAGCCAAATTGTATACGGATGAGATCGTGAGGCTGCATGGGGTCCCGGTGACCATTGTATCTGATAGAGACCCACGATTCACATCACGTTTTTGGCCGAAATTCCAGGAGTCTATGGGAACGAAGTTGAAGTTCAGCACTGCTTTCCATCCACAGACGGATGGGCAGTCTGAAAGGGTTATACAGATCCTAGAAGACATGCTGAGGGCTTGTGCATTGGAGTTCCAGGGGAGTTGGGACAACCACTTAGCACTTGTGGAGTTTGCCTATAACAACAGTTATCAGGCAAGCATCGGCATGCCTCCATACGAGGCATTGTATGGGAGGAGGTGCCGTACACCGTTATGCTGGGACGAGGTTGGCATGGCCAAACTCGAGGGTACTGAGTTGGTGGAGGTCACCAAATCAAAGGTGAAGTTAATTCGAGAGAGACTCAAGGCGGCTCAGGATAGACAAAAGAGTTATGCAGATAAGCGTCGAAGAACCTTAGAGTTTAAGGTTGATGACGAGGTATTCTTGAAAGTTTCTCCTTGGAAAGGGATCATTCGGTTCCAAACCCGAGGAAAACTTAACCCACGATATATAGGTCCATTCAGAATTATAGAGAGGATTGGGGCCGTTGCATATCGTCTACAATTGACTCCTGAGTTAGAGAAGATACATAATGTGTTTCATGTATCCATGCTTAAGAAGTACGTGCATGATCCCTCTCACGTATTGGAGAAGCCACCTGTAGAGGTACGTGAGGATTTGAACTACGCTGTTCAACCTATCAAAGTCACCGATAGAAAGGTGAAGAAGCTGAGGAGCAAAGAAGTCCCAATGGTTAAGGTCCTGTGGAAGAGCGATCGGGTCGAAGAAGAGACATGGGAAACAGAGGCTTTGATGAGGAAGCAGTATGCCTTCCTATTCGAGTAGAGCTGTGAATTTCGGGGACGAAATTCCTGTTAAGGGGGGGTGAACTTGTGACACCGCACCCGAATGTCCCTGGAAATTTGATTTGAATATTCATAGCTTATGTATTGGATTTCCGATTCCCAAACATTTTGTAAAACGATCAATGTTCTACGTAGTGCATGGTTGAATATCGTACTGTTCAAACTCGTACATTAGTGTCGGGTTTCGCAAATACTTACTCGGGACTTATTAATAAATAGAAAGGCCCAACATTTCCTAAATAGTGAAAGAATGATTAAAGGAGAATACAAATGTCTATAACCCCATCTTTGGCATTATTGAGCTAAATAATGGGAGTAGGATTTTCCTTCTAAAATATCCATCAAGTAAATTATTGGGATGAGCCTACACATATTGGAGATCAATAATGTGATTTAGGAAGTTGACTTGTTCTAAATAAATTAGGATGAGTACAAAAAGACATCTTTGACAAAGATAAAACAATAGGACCCATCTTCCCATTTTTGGAAGTATTGGTAGATATTTTGGACCCCAAAATGATTGGGATCAATTGGGAACCACTCCACATGATATTAGTACCTGCAAGACAAATAAAAATGGGCTAGGAGACTTACCTTGGCCGGCCATTATGGAGAAGAGCTGCACATGACTTGATAAGAATCAAAGTTTGGGCCACCACTCTTATTTTCGCACAAATTGGTGTGCTGTTTGTCTCCTCTCATTATAGGAGCTATCCTCAACCAAATAACGTGTATGAGGTGTCCTTGGATAGCTCTTGAAGTGTAGTTTCATAATTGAGTGGTCTTTGTTCGAGGAGAGAGAGCTTATCATCCAAAAATCGATCTGGAACGAGCAGTGGTCTGTGAACTCGAGCTGTGAGAGTGCTGAGACTGTTTGCTTCATATCTCGAGTTATACACATCCAAATAAGGCGTATAATATACCAAAAGAAAGCTCTCAAGACGAGGAATCGTCGAAGGTCTGGTTTGCATCAATCGGAGTAGTGGAAGGCCTCCAAATCGACCGAGCAAAACACGACCTCGCAGAATACGTTTTTGTATTCAAAGTAAGTTTGAATCCAAAACCTTTCTCTCTATTGTCTAAATCATATAAATGATTGAAGAACCATTATACACTGATTGAAGTGTATAAAATGTTATTATTATGTGACTTTAATTGTTGGAAAGGTTAGATACTAACCTAGAGCAAATCTTGGAAAAACTAGGAAACGAGTTAACCGGGAAACACCCGTTCTAGGGGCTGTTTTCGTATCAACGATTAAGGGTTGAACTAGCACTTTGAGGAGGCTGTTTAACACTCATATTTGAGCAAGGAATCAGTTCCAAATCCACCTTGACCAAAGCTTTGACCATTGGACCAAGGAGGGAAAGTTTAAAGCTCATTTGAGGTGAGGATTGACATCTAATTGCTTACAACTTGTAGGTTAAGCATGAGATTACCTAAATGCTTAAATCATGATTTTTCATGGATTATGATGATTATATATTGATGAAATATTGATATAGTTGCCAAGGAATGAAATTTGAAATGATTTGAGAAGGTATGAATAATATGAGATTAAATGAGTATAAATGAACTATTTTGTGAAAATGGGCATTTTGCTCATGTATGAATTATGTGAATACATAAATAAATATTTGTGTATTGAGATTGAATACTTAAGTTGCTGCTACATAATTATAAATATGTAGAGAATTACAAATAATGAGGATAATGGTATGATAACAATAATCTTAATAGTATTGAAATACTAGTTAGTGATTATTGGAACTTGTTGATTAAATTGATCCTAGGGATTGGATTGTATGAAAGGTACTTGAATATAGTTCAAGTGTATATAATAACTTAGTTTGGAACTAAGGTTAAGTTATGGGAAGTCTTTAAGGATGACCCAAAGTAGTTTAATGATATGTCAATTCTAGGCATAGGGTTGCTTGAGAATTGGACCTTAATGCATGGTGATGTAATAGAGCCGAGCTCTAGAATGCATGTAAGGTGTAGACTTGGAGTCTATGTATTGTATAGCTAGAGCCGAGCTCTAGGACTTGCGTGGTGATGTAATAGAGCCGAGCTCTAGAACGCAAGGTAAGGAAATTGACCCGAGGTATATGAATTGTATGGTGATGTAGTAGAGCCGAGCTCTAGAATACAATGTCATGTACTAGGGTTGGACTCTAGGAGTTGTCGTGGCTTATAGCCACGGGGTTGGGAATGGTGATTTCCAAATGAAAACGGGCCCACGGGCCGACTACTTGACTTTTATATAAAGTAAGTATATTTTTAAACGGGGTAACTTAGGGTTACAATCATAATGTACTATCACCCTAATTGAGGGTCTTGTGTTTGAAATACTTGTTGTATATCTATTAGATGCCTGCCACACCAGTACTTTATAGCCGTATAGAGTACTGACCCCTTCGGGGGCGTCCCACCACCATTTCAGGTTGAGGCTAGAGCTTGCATCCTGTGCTCGTTGATCGAGTGATTCCTCGGAGAGAAGACTTGGTTCGTGCTTCCTCCATTCTATTTGAAACATTAATAAATTTGCTCATGGATATTTTATTATAGAGCCTGCGTGCTCATGAATAGCCCTGTGTGGCCCTTTCGTTTTAAACAATGTTTTCCGCTGCTTTATGAATTACTTATTATGTTGTTTATGGATGACTTATGTGTGAATGATATTCATGACGCCTTGTATAATATGAATGTGTTGGATTGCGATTGACTATTCGTATTGTACGGCGGGTTGTTGACGTGTCCGGGGAGGTCCGGGGCGTGACAAACTGCCTCAAAGATGGCATCATCCTCCACATCAGAATCAATCTCATCCTCCTGAGTCAAGCCTAATTCTGCCCGCCTCTTCTCAACATTTGACTACATGTACAAAAATTGTTAATTTAATGTTACTCAATTTGATTTTGAATGGAAATAAGTAACAAAATAGTGTTACTTACTTTGATTTCAGCGAGGCGGGGTGGCAGATCGGCATCGGACTCATCGCCGTGCTTTGTCCAGCAGTGCTTGATGACCTTGAGAATTGAGACCTTCTTCTTCTCAGGCCCCGACTACAGTTTGGAAAAAAGGCTTAAGATCCATAATTAATTGTTAAAATAAAGGGTCAGAATAATGTGTAAGGTTTTTTGAAAAATACTTACAAGATCTTCTTTATGTCTACTCTGAGGTTTGCGGCCCCCATGCCATTGGGTTTCTAAAGCCTTCTCGGACATCCGGTTTTTCTTACCGGATTGACTTCTTGCCAAGAAGTTTGGATCAGAAGACCAGTGACGGACGAGGTTAGCCCACACCTCATCCGAACACCATCCAGGCTTTACCCCGCTCTTTCGGGCACGCTTAAAAGTAGGACGAAGCCAGTTTGAAATCCTAGCGTTATACGCTCTAAGAATAGCGGGACCTTGGGCTTCAGTCCATCGAAACCGACCCTTTATAAAAAACAAATAAATTAATTTATCTTTTATCAAATGTTACGTTAATACAATTACGCAGAGAAAATTCATTTTTTTTACCTTGAAAAGGTTCCACCAAAGTTCACGAACCTTGGGGTCAACTTCCGTGTATGCTGCCCAGTTCCCAAGAAAGTGTCCTCCGATTATTAGTTTGATTTGGTCCAACACTTCTTGATCGCTTCAGAAAATTAATATTATTTATTTATAAAAGTTTTGATAACATTATGATACATTGAAAAAATTATTTCACGTTAGATAAAATTCATAGTTACTTACTTCGCAACCATGTGGGGCGTCACCCAAAGCGCATTTTCATTGTTGCGCTCAGCTTCGGTTAAGGGCACATAGTTTGGGCGGGGACGCGAGGTTGATTGTTCATTGCTCATCTAAAATATATTAATTTATATTTTTAAATGTTAGTGTAGTTATAATAGAAGATAAGATTTTTGTAGAAGTTTTATCAATTGAAAACGTGTATAACATATTAAACTGTGTATAAGTCTAATATGAGAAGTCGATATTTTTTCAATTAATTTTTTTATAACTTTGATACAATACATTTTCAATTGATTGGTCTTTAAGGTAACATATTAAACTGTGTATAAGTCTAATATGAGGGGTCGATATATTTTCAATTAATTTTTTTATGACTTTGATACAATACATTTTTGTATTGATTAGCCTTTAAGGTAAAATGTTAAACTTTTGCAAGTTTACATGAGGGGACATATATACTTTATATAATATGGAGTAATTTTTTGTTCATAAATAATAATGATAAAGATAGAAAAAAATTCAAATATTGTTGGAGTAATATAATGATGAAGAAATCTGCACAAATATTAGAAGTCAATAAAATTGAAATTACAACAGCACAATTATTCGCTATCAGAATCGTCATTTTCTACATATACAGTATCTTCTTCTGTATCTGAACCGTCTATCCATTCACCTTCTTCCTGATATTGAGCGTTTTGTTGTGCTACATACATTTCCTCAATTTCGCGCTCAGATGGAATGGTTGGGTCCGGAAGGTGCGTTTCTGGCATGACTTCAACACGTCCGCCATTTGGATCACTTAATTGGATGTCATAGTTGACCGTCTCAACAATAGGCGGAGGTTGGAAAAATTGTTGCTGAAAAGCATCTAGATCAACGTCCTTGTGTTGAGTTTGTGATTTTATTTTGTTCGGACGGACAGGACATGCACACACCCAAGGATTCTGTGTCCGCCTTGTTGAAGGATATTCTGCATAATAAATCTGCGCTGCTTGTTGGGCGAGTATGAAAGGCTCATTTTTCGGGTACACACGAGACTGGTTGACGTCAATCATATTATACTTCGGATTTTTGCGCACGCCACGTGTGGGGTCGACCCATGTGCAACGGAACAGAACGCATGTCAATTTTTTCGCACCAGAAGGCATCTCAAGTTCCAGAATCTCCTGCAGGACACCAAAAAAATTGGTTTCCGAGTTATCATAACCGATGGTCGGGACACATAACCCGCTGTTCGTTGTTGGTCGGCCCTCTCCGTAATCGGCTGTGTGATATGTGTAACCGTTTATCACATATTGCCGCCACACTTTGGCACTGGCACTAGGGCCCCACGCTAATGATACTAACAAAGGGTCGACAATCCCACGACTATTGATCTGTAAATATAAACATGATAATAACATTAGGTAAATATTGAAAAATCTTACTTAATAATATATATATATAATTAATGTGTGTGTATATATATACCTGATACTTGTACCAATTTACAAAATCAGAGTCTACCAATGCATCAATTTGATTCTCAGGAAAGGCTGATAAAGAAGCTCTGAATTCACTGTGAATTCAAAAATAAAAAAATTATAAATTAACTACAAATTTAATTGATAAGTATTACAATTATAACTACAAATTTAACTTACTGATAAAACGGTGAGATTTCTGGACAATTCATGAGGATATAAGTATGTGCAATTTGCAATTCCCCACCCACGATGTATCGTTGTGTCGCAGCACCTTTACCTCTGCCTGGGTAATTGAAGATGGAAACTACATTTTCATATAAATCCTCGCCAATGTCATCGTTCCGGGCAGGTCTCTTCCTTCTGGTGATGACGTCACGCTCGAAGTAAAAAGACGAGAACGTTGAGATTTCTTGTTGAAGATACGCTTGACAAATTGAAGCCTCAAAGTGTGCCTTGTTGGTCACTTTCTTTTTCAGCTCTCCTAGAAATCTGCAATAATGCAATATAACAACGGTACACATGTTAACAGTTATTGTGAAATAAATATTCTTTTTTAAATGAAATTGTTACTAACCTTTCAAATCTGTACATCCAGCGATAGAAGACGGGCCCAGCAGTCAAAGCCTCATACGGAAGATGTATTATAAGATGTTCCATTGTATCGAAAAACGATGGAGGCATTATTTTTTCTAGATTACACATCAGAATGGGAACAGAATCTTGTAGTCTCCGGAGGGATGCCGCATCCAAAACGCTGGAACATATCGATTGAAACAACAAACTGATTTCAGTAATGCAGGACCATACGTGTTCAGGAAGCATCTCTTTTAGTGCAATTGGTAGAAGTCTTTGCATTATTACATGAGCATCGTGAGTTTTCATGCTCGTCGTCGTGGTAAGTTTGTTCATGTCTACGCATCTAGACAAGTTGGAGCAGTAGCCATCTGGAAACTTCTGAGACGCAAGCCATTGTAATATTGCTGCCTTTTGTGGTTCTGTGACCTGGTAGACTGCTTTTGGAACTTCCTTGCCCTGATATTCTAGATCAACAGAAAGTTCGGGTCTATCACACCAAATAGTCATATCTTTCCTAGCTGCAAGACCGTCTTTAGTTTTGCCTTTCAAATCCATCACTGTGTTAAATATATTGTCAAAGACGTTCTTCTCAGTGTGCATGACATCTAAATTGTGACGGATGAGAAGGTCTTTCCAATAAGGCAACTCCCAGAATATGCTCCTCTTTGTCCACTTATGGGTATCACAATACCCATATGGCTCTTGGTTTGGCTCTTCCATAGCCGTAGGAAAACGTCGAACCCGGTTATAAATTTCTTCACCGGTCAATCTCGGGGGTGGGCTCTCTCGTACCGCTCTGCCTCTAATGAAAGACTTCTTGTCCTTTCGATATCGGTGCCTTTCCGGGAGAAACTTGCGGTGACAATCAAAGTAACTTCCTTTTTTGCTGTAACTAAGCCAGTTGGCACCTGATTTCTCCATACATATCGGACATCCCATCAAACCGTGTGTGCTCCATCCCGAAAGCATGCCATAGGCAGGGAAGTCGCTAATGGTCCAAATGATGGCAGCTTTCATGATAAACATTTTATCTGATGAAACATCATAAGTTGGTGTCCCAACGGCCCACAGTTCTTTCATCTCCTCGACAAGAGGTTGGAGATAAATGTCTATCTTTCGCCCAGGATCCTTGGAACCCGGACAAATTAAAGACAAAAATATGAAATGACTTTTCATGCACATGTCGGGAGGGAGATTGTAAGGAGTTAACATGACCGGCCAACATGAATAGTTCTTGCCAAACCTGCCAAAAGGAGCAAATCCATCTGAGCACAATCCCAGCCGCACATTTCGTGGCTCCATAGCAAACTGAGGATGACAGCGGTCAAAGTGTCTCCAGGCTTCACAGTCCGAAGGGTGAGCCATCATACCCTCGTTGGTTTCGTGCTCAACATGCCATGTCATGTGTTTCGCAGTAGCAGTCGAAGCGTACATCCTCTGCAGTCGAGGAGCTATTGGGAGGTAATACAGTTTAGACAGTGCAGACCTATGTCGTGGTTTCTTTTTACCTTGACGAACAGGTTTGTATCTGTCTCCACCACAGAACTTGCAGAACTCAAGTGCCTCATCCTCCTTCCAGAACAACATACATCCTTCCGGGCACGCATCAATTTCAACACAAGGTAGCCCCAACTTAGACATTAACTGCTTCATGTGGTAATATGAATCCGGAAGGGTATGATCTCGCGGTAGCATCCCTCCTACTGACTGCAAGACTCTATTCATGCAAGTTTCAGGGAGACTGTATTCGGCTTTTATGTTCATGAATTCAGTAACGGCGGATAGCTGAGAGTATCCCTCACAATCAGCATACAGAGGTTGGTCGGCAGCTTTTAGAACATCCTGAAATCTCTCAGCCAAACCTTCATCCACATAAGGTTGATAAAATGTCGGATTTTCATCCGCATCTGGTTGATACGAGGTTGAGGCTTCAGGGGGGTCGTTAGGTGGTTGTGGGGGGTTGAACTGAGACATCGGTACACCGTATGCGTCATATACCATTTGTTGGTCCCACCTCATTTCAGCACGGTCTCCCCACGCACTCATCTCTGGAGGGACGTAACGAGACGAACCTACCGTTTGTGGTATAACAGATGGATCCAAAGGTTCGCCGTGAGAAGTCCAATTATAATAATTGGGAACAAAACCGACCGCGTACAAATCATACCCAACTTCGTGTGGGTCTTTAAATTTGAGATTTTTACACTTTGAACATGGACATCTTATTTTATCACCACTCATATAAGCCGGATGTTCAAGTGCAAATTCAATAAATTCCCCAACTCCCTCGAGAAAATTTGATTGCATTCCGTACAATACCGCATCTTTATCATACATCCAAC